ATTTTAGCGAGAGAATTGTATTTGCCATGGTGTAATCACAGTATGTGTTTGTTTCCCTGACAATGATGTCCATCAGGGGTTCATCGAAGAATAACTCAAAGCAGTCCAGTTCACTGGCATTGTTCCCAAGTGGACATGATGGCTTTATTCCACTTTGTGTTTCATCAAAGTCATGGGGACTGGGAACAAACTCGTCACCGTCCTGCCAATCCCAGATGAGGTCTGCTGGTGGGGTCTGGATATTGTACCGTGGTTGTGGTTGTGCGGGTTGTGGTTGTGCAGGTTGTGGGAGTGCAGGTTGTGGGAGTGTGGGGTCGGGTGAGGCTGGTTGTTGTGCAGAGTCAGCAGCGTGGGTAGTAGCGTGGCCCGCTGATGGTGCCACATGGGCCGTGCCACCCTCACTATCACCACCACTGCCTGCTCCCTCACTCACATCATTCATACCCATTGTTACAATATCGTCATCTTCACTATCAGGTCGTGGTGTAGGGCCATGGGATGTGCTCCCAGAGATTCTCCTTCCCCTTGGAACAACATATGAAACACTACCAGACCGCATGCTACGTCGTACATACTGCCGCTTCACTGGGGAATATTCACCCTCACTGTCACTAGAACTGCTTTCAATGACCTTGAAATCACTATCACTATCACATTCACTGCTATCATCTGGGTGTTGTACACGACCAAATAGTTTCCTCTTTCGTCCTGGTACAGGTGAACGTGAACGTGAACAAGCCGGCCCAGCACCAGAGGTGGAAGGTTGTGGGTCATCTGGGTTTTCATCACTAATTACGTTATCCTGGGCACTTTTTCTGGTAACACTCACTTCAAAACCCTGGAATTCACTGTCACTGACATTTTCATCGCTGTTAGAGCTATCACTTGGGAACAAAAGACCTCCAATCCGCCGAGGAGTGAGGAACTTCTTACTGAGAGGCATGGTGAAAATGGACTAACAAGACGGCGTTCCCACAATGCACCGCTGGGTCCCAGATTTTTTTCACAGGGTGCACACCGACCACTGAGACCCATTCTCTCTCATGTAGGCCTACCAGGCCTTTCCCCGCTTGATTTGAAGCCGCTAGAATTTGTGCGTATAAATACATCAGAAACACTGGCTCGTGAAACGTATTTATACGTAGTAAACAGTCAAAGGGTTAAGGGTTAAATATGCTTATTAACTCACCTTCATATATATGTAAGCACCCTGTTTAGGTTTCAGCAGAGGTGAATAAGGGTATAGTGCATGAGATATTTGGTAAAATGAAAGGAGGTAAAGCAGTTGGGACAAACTGGATTAAGAGTGATGATAAAAGCAGGTGGGGAAGTAGTGGAGTGGTTTGCATATTTTTTCTACATATGCATGAAAGGAAAGAACCTACAGATTAGCTGAGAGCATGCATACTTCCTTAGTACAAGAGAAGAGGACAAGAGACAATGTAAGAATTATAAGGGATAGGCTTACTGAGGTAACCGTGTAAAATGCACAGAAGAATTATTAGAAAGAGTTGGGGCTAAGACAGAAATCAGGACTGTAGAGGAGCAAAGAGGATTGGGTGTGAAGCATGAGTTGTAAATGCTGCAGCAAGAAGAAGGCTGGAGGCAGTGGACATGTCATGTCTAAGGGCAATGTGTGTGGTGTAAATATCGTGCAGAGAATTCGTAGCTTGGAGATTAGGTGTGGAGTTACTAAAAGTATTATTCAGAGGGATGAAGAGGGGTTGTTGAGGTGGTTTGGTCATTTAGAGAGGATGGAGCAAAATAGGATGACCTGGACGGTGTATAAATCTGTAGTGGAGAGGAGGAGGGGTAGGGGTCATCCTAGGAAAGGATGGAGGGAGGGGGGGTAAAAGAGGTTTTGTGTACAAGGGGCTTTGACATGCAGCAGGCATGTGTGAGTATGTTAGATAGGAGTGAATGGAGATGAATGGTTTTTGTGACCTGACGAGCTGTTGGAGTGTGAGCAAGCTAATATTTTGTGAATGGATTCAGGGAAACCAGTTAGCCGGGAGTCCTGGAAACGGGAAGTACAATGCCTGCACTTTAAAGGAGGGGTCTGGGATATTGGCAGTTTGGAGGGACATCTAAACTGTTATATCTCAGCACCTCTGCAAAGACAGTGATTATGTATGAGTGATGGTGAAAGGTTTTCTTTCTTTTTTGGGTCACCCTGCCTCAGTGGGAGATGGCATGTGTTAAAAAAAAAAAATACATACACTCACGTCACCCTTGTTGGAGTTCATTGGTTAAAACCTAAAGCGTTAAAAGTAGAGAGTCATATCTCTCATTACTGAGGTCCGGAGATCAAATCCCTGGACTAAAAAGAAATTTTTTTTTTATGTTATCCATGGAAGCAAAGAGGGGAACGTATGAGAGTATAATGGTATCAACGCTCTTATATGGGTGTGAAGCATGGGTTGTGAATGTTGCAGTGAGGAGGAGGCTGGAGACAGTGGAGATGTCATGTCTGAGGGCAATGTGTGGTGTAAATATTATGCAGAGAATTTGTAGCTTGGAGGTCCAGGATTGCTAAAAGTATTATCCAGAAAGTTGAAGAGGGAGTTCTTGAGGTGGTTTAAACATTTAGAGAGGATGGAACAAATTAGGATGATTTAAAGGGTATATAAATCTATAGGAGGGAAGGCAAGGTAGGGGTCACCCTAGGAAAAGTTGGAGGGAAGGGGGTTGGGGGGTAAAGAAGGCTTTGTGTGTGAGAGGGATTGGATATCCAGCAGGCATGTTTAAGTGTGTTCTACAGGAGTGATTGGAGGCAAGCATTTTTTGGGACTTGAACAGTTGCTGGAGTGTAAGGAATTCAGGGAAACCAATTAGCTGGGCTTGAGTCCTAGAAGTGGGAAGTACAGTCCTGCACTCTGAGGGAGGGGTGGGGATATTTGTAGCTTGGAGAGGCATCTGAACTGTACCGTCTGCCTGCCTCTGGCACGACTCTGATGGAGTGAATGATGGTGAAAGTGTTGCTTTTTTTTGGGGGTCACCCTACCTCAGTAGGAGACAGCCAGTGTGTTAAAAAAAATTATTGAATTATTTTTATCCAAAAATATGAGTATTCATTACCACAGGTGAACCATACATTCACATGAAAAAAAAAAGTAAAAAATACAAAATTCATTTACAATACATTGGACCCTTGGTTTTTGTTAGTCTTGGTTATCATGAATTTTGGTTATCGGCAACTTTTTTCCTTGGATTTCCCTTGGATTTTCGGCGGTGGTACAGTACGTGTCCCAGAGGCCCCACACACACAGGCTGCCACAGATGCACTCAGTGCCAGCCTGGCATTGTTTCTCGGCGAGTGAGCATGCCACCCTACATTCATACAAAACATTTTGCAATAATCCAGTGTTTTTTGTGCTTGCAACTGCTAAAAAAGCCACCATGGGCCAAAAGTAAGCTCCTGGTGCTGCCCTATGGTAAAGAAGGTGAGAAACATGATAGAATTAAAGAAAAAACTCGTAGCAAAGTACCAAACTGGAGGAGGAAGAGAGAGAGGAGAATGTGCCTTCTTCAGTGATTCTACGATATGTACGATACTAAAGCAGCAGGAGTCGATAAACGCTACAGCGCCAGCCAGTGACGAAGTGTAGCATTAACAATGTAGCCATTAAGTAGAGCGATTAAGCGATGGAAAAAGGACACAAAACTAACTCCTCCAATGTTATTGGAGGTATATAGGGCCACTAGCAACACCGCTGCCTCCACCACCACTAATATGTACGGCTTATGCTGTCAGTGGCCCTTATAAACTCAACAGCAACACCATCACTTACTCCTCACATACATAATGACATTTTATTTATTTTAGAGTATATATCATGTTTCTATATTATTAATATTGTTTATTATGTCCCTAGGTAGTGGGTTGGTAGACAGCAACCGCCCAGGGAGGTACTACCGTCCTGCCAAGCGAGTGTAAAACGAAAGCCTGTAATTGTTTTACATGATGGTAGGATTGCTGGTGTCTTTTTTTCTGTCTCATAAACATGCAAGATTTCAGGTACGTCTTGCTATTTCTACTGACACTTAAGTCACACTACACATACATGTACAAACATATATGTACACACCCATCTGGGTTTTCTTCTATTTTCTTTCTAGTTCTTGTTTATTTCCTCTTATCTCCATGGGGAAGTGGAACAGAATTCTTCCTCCGTAAGCTATGCGTGTTGTAAGAGGCGACTAAAATGCCGGGAGCAAGGGGCTAGTAACCCCTTCTCCTGTATATATTACTAAATGTAAAAGGAGAAACTTCCATTTTTCCTTTTGGGCCACCCCGCCTCGGTGGGATACGGCCAGTTTGTTGAAAGAAAAGAAGAAAGTTTATTATGTTAAATTAGATGAATTGTGATAGATAAATAAGCCATAGATTTGATATTAGCATCATATTCAAGCATTTTGTCCTGTCTGCAAACAAACTTGCCCCCCCCTTCTCCCCTCCTCCCTGTCTTCCATACACCAACAAGAGTCTTCAATAAAAGTAAGTGTGATGTTAAATGTTCATTTATACATTTTATTAGTGCTTTATATTTATTTGTCATTCTTTTCTGTATGTAAATCTATATTTAATCTCTAAAAAAATGTAGTTTTTGTTAATACTTTTGGGTGTCTGGAACGGATTAATTGGATTTACATTATTTCTTATGGGGTAAATAGTTATGGTTTTCGTGAATTTTGGTTTTTGGCAGACTCTCTGGAACGGATTAATCACAAAAACCAAGGTTTCACTGTATTGTACAGTGCTACACTGTCAGAACACCTATATAAGAATAACATATGACTATTTGCTGGCATTTAAAAACAAAAAATGAGCATACCCCACATGCACCATATGGTCATAAGAATGAAAAATGTTTGATAAACTGAGGAACAAATCAACCTTGAATACTGTACTATTTCAATGTATTTTTGGCTTATGTTATTTATAAGAAAGCTTTCCTAAATGAACCACTGTTCTGTTTATACATAAAAATGCCAACTACCTTAAGATTGCCAGCACCAGAGTTAACATCAGGCGGGAACTGTGGACGTGCAGGCTGACCACCGATGGGCAAACTGGGATACGGAGCATTGGGAGCAGTGCCCATGTTGGTTGAGTGGCCCGAGGGCAAAAAAGAGGAATATTCAGGTGGGGGAGAGTTGTCTGGCCCCATCAGCTCATCCCACTGGCAACTGCCACTTACATTCTACAAGAGACAGGGTGCAGTCATGGCATGCTGGTGTTAGAAGGTGCAGTGCTACACAATAATACATCAATACACTACCTACCTTATCCACCATTCAATGTACTAATTACTACTCTACTATACTAAAACAAGGTAGTAAACATATTCACAATAAAATATACAGTATGTTGCATAAGGCCATGGTGAATAATACTTCATGAGTATCTCATAGTATACACAGTATTTCATGAATGTCTAAAGCTAGCTGACACAAAATTAAATTCTTGGGATATTACATTCAGCACATAAATGACAATGCATAGTACAAGTATTTTTTCAAATAAAATGAAAATTTGTTGGCTTCATAATTTTTTTTTTTTCAACAAGTCAGCCGTTTCCCACCGAGGCAGGGTGACCCAAAAAAGAAAGAAAATCCCCAAAAAGAAAATACTTTCATCATCATTCAACACTTTCATCTCACTCACACATAATCACTGTTTTTGCAGAGGTGCTCAGAACACAACAGTTTAGAAGCATATACGTATAAAGATACACAACATATCCCTCCAAACTGCTAATATCCCGAAACCCCTCCTTTAGAGTGCAGGCATTGTACTTCCCATTTCCAGGACTCAAGTCCAGCTATATAAAAATAACCGGTTTCCCTGAATCCCTTCACTAAATATTACCCTGCTCACACTCCAGCAGATCATCAGGTCCCAAATAACATTCATCTCCATTCACTCCTATCGAACACGCTCATGCACGCCTGCTGGAAGTCCAAGCCCCTCGCCCATAAAACCTCCCTTACCCCTTCCTTCCAACCTTTACGAGGACAATCCCTACCCAGTCTTCCTTCTCCTACCGATTTAAGTGCTCTCAATGTCATTCTACTTTGATCAATTCTCTCTAAATGACCAAACCACCTCAACAACCCCTCTTCAGCCCTCTGACTAATACTTTTATTAACTTCACACCTTCTCCTAATTTCCACACTCCGAATTTTCTGCATAATATTTACACCACACATTGCCCTTAGACAGGACATCTCTACCGCCTCCAACCGTCTCCTTGCTGCTGCATTCACAACCCAAGCTTCACACCCATATAAGAGTGTTGGAACTACTATACTTTCATACATTCCCTTCTTTGCCTCCATAGGTAACGTTTTTTGACTCCACATATACCTCAACGCACCACTCACCTTTTTTCCCTCATCAATTCTATGTAAAAAGAGAGCAAATGACAGAGTGGGGGAGATGTTATCAACAAATTTTGTTGAAAATAAGAAAAAGTTTTGGAGTGAGATTAACAAGTTAAGGAAGCCTAGAGAACAAATGGATTTGTCAGTTAAAAATAGGAGAGGAGAGTTATTAAATGGAGAGTTAGAGGTATTGGGAAGATGGAAGGAATATTCTGAGGAATTGTTAAATGTTGATGAAGATAGGGAAGCTGTGATTTCGTGTATAGGGCAAGGAGGACTAACATCTTGTAGGAGTGAGGAAGAGCCAGTTGTGAGTGTGGGGGAAGTTCGTGAGGCAGTAGGTAAAATGAAAGGGGGTAAGGCAGCCGGGATTGATGGGATAAAGATAGAAATGTTAAAAGCAGGTGGGGATATAGTTTTGGAGTGGTTGGTGCAATTATTAATAAATGTATGGAAGAGGGTAAGGTGCCTAGGATTGGCAGAGAGCA